CTATTAGATGATGTTGTAAAATTGTACAATAACACTTTCCATCGCACCATTCAAATGAAACCTTCAGAAATAAACGAGAACAATGAAAAAAAAGTTTTAAATCAAGCATTCACTCATATAAAATTAGCTCACAAAAATAATAAATTTAAAATTGGTGAACACGTAAGAATAAGTAAGTTTAGGAATGCTTTTGATAAAGGATATACTCCCAATTGGTCAAATGAAATTTTCACAATTAAGGAAATTAAATTAACCAATCCAACAACATATTTGTTGTGTGATGAGAAGGGGGAAGATATATCAGGAGGATTTTATGAAATGGAGCTTCAGAAAGTAAAACATCCCAATGTCTACTTGATTGAAAAAGTTATTAAGAAACGTGATAATAAGTTTTATGTGAAGTGGTTAGGTTTTAGTGATAAACACAATAGTTGGATTGAAAAGAATAGTATTGCTTAAAACAAGATGCATTTGTATGTGTGTGATATTCAAGGGTTTTGTATACCAGAATTTGTTGTTAAAGAATTAACTATAATGGATGCTCAATCAATTCTACATCATCTCTTTAAACCTTCGAAACCATATGAAGACATAGATTTATTTTATAGAAAACAGGTGAAATATCTGGAAAGATATCATCATTTACTAGGTTACAACGAAGGACTCGAAGAACAGAAGAATGTTGCGACAATTATTAGAAAATTTCTTCATTTAAATGAATTTAAAAACAGTGAAACTGATATCATCATCTACGTGAAGGGTCACGTAAAAGAAGATTTCCTACGAGAAATTTTACCCGACTCATGTGTACGAATAGTCAACTTAGAAAAAATCAACGAATCGCCCAAATTGTGTAAAACAAGAAGAAGATGTGGATTTCATATTGTAGATAATTATGATTTTATGTGTTCATTAAATAATGCTAAGTGTATTTATGAATGGTTATGTAAAAAACTTATTCCTCAATAATAAATTCTTTTAAAACATTTAATGACTTTTATTTATTTAATCAGATTTCTCTCTTCTCTTTAAAACGTTCAGACATAACGTCAGCATTCTTGTTAATGCAGGTGTATCCAACACGTTGAGATTTGCGTGATAAGTCTGATTGCAAACTCCTACACAGTGCGGATATGAGTAAATACATAGTAGACACGTATAGTTTTGTTTATGGTTAGGGATTGAGATAGGTTAAGGAAAACGCATACATAAAAGTAAAAATTTATTTGAAATACATTGTTACATACATGACACAATGTTATACATTTATTAACAATTATTATAAATACATACAATAGTGCAAAACTATTCACATAAATTTATATGAAAAAAATTATTCTTCAATAAATTCAATTTTTGTTGTGTTTCCAATTGCTCCTCTACTAATCATGAATAACTTTGCACCATTTTTAATTTTCGCATTTAAATCAGCAATTTCTTCATCAGCGAGACGTTCAATGAACCGATGCGGTAATATAGTAGAAAACTCATCACAATCCACCATAACTTTCAGTCCATAAATTGTTGAAATTTTTCTAAATGAATTCACACTAAACTTTTCATCAACTTTAATACTTTTTATGCTAACAAATGATCCCATTTCTAAATCTTTGTTCAAATTTTTAAATGCTGCACTGTTMATCTTGAATATTTACGTTTTTCTTGCACAATCACAAAATAGTAAATTTATATTATAATATTTAATTCGTACTGATGTGAATAGTACCGTAAATGAAGTAAAACTGAATTAAATATTAAGCGTGTTTCCTCGTTTATATAGAACAAATGTAGGGAAACTAAGAGGTGAGGGGTACGGGGTTATTTTACTTAGAATTATTATGTCATGATCTCAAAATAACTACAACGTCATCAGTCTAAAAATAGCTGTGATTCATCGAGTGGTGACTCATTGATCTAAAAATAGCAATCAYAGTAGGGGATTCACATAATTTTCAATGTGGGATTCCCCAAAGTGACGCATGCGTAGACAAATTCAATGCATGACATCATGATCCAAAAATAGCACACAATTCTCAGAATTTTGAGTGGGGGATTCCCGGAATCCAGGAGTGGGATCCGGATTCCTGGAACCAGGATCCAGGAGTGGGGGTCTAAATTCCCGGAAATGGCGCATGCGCAGATGAAGTGAATTAGAATCGGCACAGCTTAACTACTCATTTCTGTAAAAACAAAGTAAATCTTAATTTGCTTACGTACCTTTTTTTGCTTATTTTATTTATTTTTTCTTTGTGTACAACATACTTCTACAAAAATTGGAAACGATTACTCTTTGACGAAAAAAAATTTCGAGTGTAGATATTGGACTTTATTAGTGCTGCTGCTGTTAAAGATAGTTAAGGGTTGTGAAATAGAAGTTAAAAATATCGAACGCAATTAAGCGAATTAAGCCACTTGGAAATAAATTAAAATTGTCTGCCCCTGACGGTAGACAATAAAATTAGATTGAAAGGGGTTTATAATGTTCCTGACGTAGAATTTGATGGAAGTAATTTTCTTAGGATGCACACGTGTTTTGAATGTTTTAACATCTATTATTAATTATTTTGAACTTGATAGCGTAGGAAATGCATGGAATCATCAGAGCGCTATATCGGTCTCTAATAATGTTTCAGATTTTGCATAGAATGTTTAAACTCTCACCTTTGGTGATTTTGTTGTGTTCTTGAAGCAAGTTTACTGCTGTTGGAACAACCATAAACATTTTACTAAATGTTAGAATCCTTTCACTAACCTGCTTGGGAAAATATCAGTTCATTACGAGCAATTGTTTTAATTCAGCGGGTACAAAATTGATGTTGCAATTTTGTATGTAAATTTATACATTCATTGAACCGAAACGAAAATTCCTCCTATTCTTGCGAATATTCAGCTCCATTTGTTTGAGTCTTCGAAGGAAATAACCGTAAATCGAGTCGATACATGAAAATCCCTAAACCAAACGAGTTTTTCATCGCTAATGGCCGTTATTAAAAATCGCTTAATTTCGCGAATTTTCTTGTTATTTATTAATCGGTTTCTAAACGGTCGTGTAAATTACACAACAGCTAATTATCTAATATGTTAAATTGATTAGGAGGGTGTCATCGGGTTTACAACTTGCTAATTTGATTGAATTCATTAGAGACTGTTTCAAGGGGTGTCGATACTCGCATGCCAACTTAATAATAAAAATTCAACAATCAACAAATACCATTTCATTAGCTTGATTATGTTTTTGTGACACGCCATTCTGCTCTTTAAATTTTCATGACCCGCAAACGTGCCAGAATCGTATAGGTGTTAATTATTTTTTTAAAAACAGTAATTTAGATTTAACTTTGGAACTGACATCCAAACGACATTTTTCTATAATCAGATTATAATAATTGCTGAGGTTTTCGCTTGCATAAAAGGGTAATTAAAAAGTGTACTGAGTTTTACAATTCTTCTCTATTCGGATCACCTTCATTTTTATGATTTATTTCGAAATATTTTCAGCACGTAATGTCCTTTTTAGCACGTTAATTATTTCCATATGTCACCAGAGACCTTAAACGAAATCTGGGTCCGCTGTGCTATTTTTAGCCAAATGAAAGAGTTTTTCACGTAAAGTAACAAATTTAATAATTCACTGGAAATTTCAGAGTGTGAATATTATATTTGAGTACATGAATCAGAGTGGTTAAATTTGAAAAGCGCAAATTCAGGGTGGGTGACAACAGTGTTGATTCATATCATATATTTATATTAGCTACCTCACCAGCGTCTGCTTCCACATGAATATAACTCGATTTGCGTTTGTAATTTTGCAGATTTATAACGTAGGATTAATTAATTAAGTCGAGTCAATATTGGCTCAAGAAATGAACAGCACGATATTTAATACAATTTTTTTCGGACAAACAGCCGTCGTTCGAGAGGATTTATGCCCGAAGTCGCCATTGTATAACTTTTTCATTTACAATTTATTGAGCTATCAAAATTTACCATCAACGACAGATGCGAATGCTGAAAATACAGAATGGACCGGTGCTTTTAAATGAGTTTCTTTCTTATATTTCCTCGTCTTCGAATTGTCGAATTGAAAGCAAGCGAGATGCTGAAAGAAAGTACATATTTCATAACAGGGCCTGAATTGGCCGGTCATTATTATTAGTACAATATTTTGTTCAGGCCCGGTACCGGAAAAATAATTCCTTGGCCTACATTTACCATGTTGCCGCAGGTTTCAATCAATTCAGCACTTTTTATCAGAAATGTTGTCGCAAAACTATTGACTTGTTAAATTTCACAATGAAATTATCAGAAGTGATTACCAATTGTTTATAAGTAATTTATCACACTTTTATTCTTCTGTGAGGTAATAACAAAATAAACAATAATAAAAAGAAATTAACTAATGGCATTTTATAAATGGCACTTTATCATTAATTTATTCTTGGAGGATTTTCACCTGACCTGACAAGAAACAATTAGTCAGTTTTATTCTGCTGTCAATTGTAATTTTTTCCGGCATGAAAATCTTTTTTTTTTTAATCGGTACTGGTTCACTCACAAGTGTGACTATGTCCTTAATTCTCTGATGATTCGTCTCAAAATCAGAATTAGAGTGGTAAAAAGTAGTGTTAATTGTGGTTTTTAGGCCTTGATCTTCTGTGATCTTGAAAAGAGAAAGCATCATGCAACACTCGATAGTACTTTTGACAGATAATGATCAATAATAATTAATGTGATGGTTAAAGAGAAATATTAGTATCTCGTAACAAATAAGTGCTTTCGGGCCGGAAACAATTATTATTGATCAAATTAAATTTCTTCTTGCCTCGGGATGATTATTGATTAGCGAGTGCTAGTAAGTAATTGGGTCTTCTTCTCATAATGTTGATCGTCTTAGAATATACATTAGCAAAAACAACTTTTTCCAGTCTTGACCCGTTAGATTAAATTAATTATACACTTGACAGTAAGAATTGTTGCTTAATTAATACCTGTTTTTTCAGAGCCGTGGTTTGCCTATACCTTATCCTGTGATATCTGGACCGAGTGCATATATCGATCCCGAAGAGGTAAGTTTATTGCGCCACTCTGTATACCCAATTCGCTTAATTCAATTTGTTCGTTCGTGAACTCAGCTAAAATTTATGCAATACAAAACGATTACCGGTTGGATTTTATTTAAATTTGTGGCGATTACTGCTCTTTAATACTAGTCGTCCACGTTTTGATTTGGTGTGTGCGTGCAACCCATAATTAGGTAAAGTGTTGTTGACCGATTTGCCGGCTCTAGTCCTTGACTTTCAGTTGAAATACAAATGGATTTTATGCTTTACGTAATTTCGTTCGTTCGAACCTAATTGCTAATTTAAAATTTTTAGAATTAAACGAATATTAAGAGCGGCTTGGTAATTTAGCGAGATTAAAAGACATTGAGTCAGACCGTGTTCATTAAGGCCAATTGGAGAGTTATCTTTTTTTCTTAGTTCTTTTCTCATCGACTCGATTTCTATAAATTGGAATTAAATTCTTTACTTGAAGTTGGATTCTGTTCAAGGTTTTTCTTATAATTTTATTTTAGAGGAACATCTTTGAAAAGAAGCCATTATTCAGAAGCCAATGAGTCTTGTAGACTTTAAATAAATATTTAATATTAACATAACGAAAAACTGATTCATATTTTGTTATACCTACTGTTGGATTTGTTTTAAGTGGGTAACTGATCACACAGTTTTTTTATACAGGGTGTTTCACACAACTTTACCTGGCATGCGCCTAATGTACGCACCCAAATATACAAGTCACAAAACACTGGATACAAAAAATACACATTTAATTATTTAATTTTTGGAAACCCATGACAGTAGTTGTCAAACTTATCATTGTTTCATTAATAGTCATAAACTGCTGTTTTTCAGGAACAATTATCATTTGTTCTATCAAGAGACGGCATTATCTACCTTAATCTAACTAACTAAATACGTTGTAATTTTTAAAAGAGTGAACAATCTAGAGAAGATTATCCAATTTTTAAAATTTGTAATCGAGTTCGTATCAGAATATGTATTATTTATTGCTTTCATCTTACAGGCCCAGGCCTCGTAAAATTATGTGAAACATCCTGTATTACCCTGTAATTTTTTACTGGGAATTAATCAAATGGACTGTCTATTACATCTTATGTTTCTCAAGGTTATCTTGCAGGGCATCGTTTGTTAGAAAAAATAATAGTAACAAAGAAAAAAGATGCTGTTATTGTATCCGGTAAAAATTTGCGACATTTAATGAATGGTGATATCGTATGATCAAATAAATTAATTCGGGTGCGCAAACTTTTTGTATCGCTACGAGTACAACAGTATAATACCTAACAACGTATTTCTCGATATTTTTCAGTTCGTATAGTCATGCAAAAAAAATATCGATAAAAAATCGAAACATGATTGTATAGACCAATGTTTTTTAAAATAAAACATTGTATTTAATTTCAAGATTTTGGGGATTTAAAAAAATATGAGGGGATTGTTATGGAATTGTGGAATTCGTCATTTTTGTTGTAGGCTGACTGTTTCGATTTTTCATGGAGTAATCGGGATGCACCGGAGTGATGGCGGTCCCATTTCCTTCGTCCCGATCTGTCGGCATTCGGTCAAACAGTCCAATATCCTCGTTATTCTTTTGGCCGTTCGTCATACCCTGCAACATAATCGCGGACCATACATAATAGGTGTCCTTGTACTAAATTGAAAAAGCGTATTGAATGCATAATAAACGCTGAAGATTTTTCACTCGAATCCCACATGACACGTGAATATCAATAACACACGCCTGAAAGATTCCCGACATTGCTACGGCAAAGCTTCGAGCGCTTTGGGCCCACCCAAACTCTTGACCTCCAATCAATCAAAAACCGCCGCTTAAAAAAACTAAAGCGATTTTTTTCTCCCTTGCTTCTATTATCTCGTGGCCAGGTGGATATGTAGAGAACGTAATGAATATGTTACGGTCGGATTTGCATAACTCGAATTGGGTTAATAACTTCAACCGCTAATGCATCAGGATAATAAAGAGGTGTAATCAACTCCTTTCAAACGTGCGATGATGGCGGCCACACCTTGACAGTGATACACCTAACTAAATAAATAAGAGCTATTTTATACCACGTTCCGTCATAAAACGGAAAAGTCTTTTATTAAATGGACGTAATTTATAACGATATCGGATTGAAACGATGGGCATTTTTGACTTTGGTACACCTGCGGATTCAGTTTAGCGGAAAACCGCACAAATAACTGCCAGAAACCATATTTAGAACAGAAAAATGATGCTGCGAGAACTGTTTATTGTATTTTACAACGTCTCGATATTATTACAAATTAGACCAATAGTCAAAATTTACATAATGATCCTTTTTGTAAGATAAGTCGTTCTTTTATGGCTATAAAAATTAAATGCTTGTCAGGAGCATATGTTTATGTCAATAACTAAAAATGTTAATTTTACTCAGAGATTTCTTCAATTTGTGAGCCAATTTTTAAAAATATGTTGTTGTTTTCCACACTTAGTAAGAAAGAAAAATGTTCTTAATCGGAATTTTTACTGTGAGCTTTGTTCCTGGTTCAGAATTTATCGATTGTGTCATGAAAAATAATATGTTGCTTAACATTTTACCGTCTTTACAATAAGTGGGCTAATAATGATGGACAAGCAAAACCTTTTTTCTAAGTAAAACCACGAGGGATACATTTTATTCGGTAAAGAATGAATGTAATTCCAACAGGTATGCCTACGAGAGAAATTTTTTACCATTTGCGCACAAAAAAAGCCACAAGCCGAGCCTATGGGTAGGCAGGTATATAGTAGCATAACTTGCCAGACTGAAAAAAACAGGTGTATCGCCTTTCAGTGATTTGTAAAGGGATGTTGTTTATTAGTATACAGGATGTTTCAGAACTCGCGCCCCATAGAAAAATGCCAAGTAAAATAAGATACCAGCAACATGAAAAAAATGTTTAAAAAGTTATACTTTAGCAAAAAAAATTAAATTTTGACGTTTAATTTTTTTATGTCTATTTAATATTACCGATTGTGTATATCTGTACCTCAGAGCAAAACAGTATTAACTACCAAAACACATTCAGGAGAGCACTTTTAAAACTATAATTTTGATAAGGTGTCTGCGACATTCATAATATTCAAAAACAGGAAAAACTGGAGTTAATATTAGGTATTTTGCTCTGAGGTACAGATACGTTTTTTCATAATTATTCAGTAAACCTTCAAAAATTTGTCTAATAAAAGCCATAAAACACGTTAAACAATTAAACATCATAGTTACAATTCAGTATAGAGTTTCTTTGTTCTTTCTACTAATAGCTTGCAGCAAAAAAAACATGGAAAACAACAGGAATAAATAGGGTCAAACTGCAAAATTCAAATTTCTAAAATTTTGACGTTTTTATATAGACAGAATTTTTTTCCTGGTACCTATTAGTTAACTTACTTGACATTTTTTCTGGTACGTGAGTTCTGAAACATTCTGTGTTTGTGAGAGATAATCAAAGATTAGTAGTCAGCTAAAAAGGAACCTTTCTAAACGATTTCTATTTTTGTACCCAGATTAAAAGTTAATAATGAATAATGCTTCCACTTCGAATCTTTTGCAGTAGACGACTATTACTTAGCTCTTGAATATTCCGTCAAGTTTTTCTTCTCTTTCGTAGATCGAGAATGAATGAAGCAATCTCGACGCGATTTGAGATATATTCCAGGGACTGTTCTCGAGGTCAGTAAGGGGTTACTTACGATGACAAAAAGGCTCTTTTACGGAAACAGTCTCGGGGCTTTGACATTTTACCATGAAACTTAGAGGACTGGTTTTGTTTGTTTCTTCGGCTTAAAAAAAATAATGGTGAAGCGACTTTGGTAAAGCTGTCACTTAATCGAAAATCGTGCTTTATGTTAGATAACTGGTACAATCGATAAATCAGAATAGAACTATTGCACACATAAATCACTGTCTCTCCACCCATATGTTCGTTTTTGTATGGGATGATAAAACTTTCTCTCCCTTCAAGTTTTGCCATATTCAGCACTCTTCGGCACTAGAAAAAAATTATTGACATGGGAAATAGAATTGTAATGAGGCCAGAAATGCATGTTTTTGAAGCAGAAAAAACATGTTCTATAGTATCCAGTGCATTCGGAACATAGCCACATTGTTTTTTTAATTTTTAGAGGAATTATCAAGCAGTCGAGCACTTTTTATAGCTACACAGTGAATAGCTGTGATAAGACTCTTGTGAAAAATAAAAAATTCTTGATTTAAATTTTAATTTTTTTGGGTTCAGCTTTGCTGGTTTAAGACTAATTTCTAACATAATTAAAAAAAAATTGCTATTCTATAGCAGGCCCCTACACCAAATTACAAAATCATCGGCCAACTATAATCTTTTCTTTTTTTATGTTTATTAATTCACAAATGAAAATGAATTATGAACAAAAAAATACACAAAATTTACAAATTTAATAAAATTTTTACAAAAGAAAATGAAAAAATTATTTGGTATAGGGGCCTAAATGTTGATTCTAAACAACTTTTTTTAATAATTATTTCGTATTTACATAAAAGACACTTTACTATACAGAAAAATAGGTTTTTTAAATATTTCTAGGACATACTTGATTTTTCAAAACTAAAATTATAAATTACGTTAGCAGTAAGCAGAGCTGAACCTCAGAAAATTTAAAGCATTTTTTTTTTCCAAGAGTCGTATCCACCTATCCGGGGGCACACTGCATAACGTTTTTTTAGAGTGCAGAAATTGCAGAAATTTAATTGCACTTGTTTATTTGGCATTTGACATCTTTTTGTTGTACTTTTCTCAAAGAGAATGTAACAAGTTATTCTGTTATTTAGTTCTTGTATTAGCTATAATTTATTGTAATCTAGAATTATGAACTTTTAGTAATTTAAGAATTTCAATCATAAACAAAGCACAATATCCGTTGTTTCACTTTACCGATTATTTTATTTGATATAAAGTCTTTTGAAGTAGCTTCGATCGCAATG